CAACGGAACTTGGAGCGGATCCATGCCGTGGAGACCTCTTTTTCGGCTCCAGGCTGTCAATTGAATTTGTCGGTACATGGGATATCCATGCATCACATTCTCATCGTAGTGAGTAGAAGAAGGGGACCAATGTGATGGGATAGCTGGCTTCCAAGACCAGTCCTGATGGGTCGGCCATGCGGAATCTTCCCAAGTGTTGTCCCAGGTGTTCCATGCCTGAGAGCTCCAACGTTGAGACATGGCTAACAAGGTCGAACTTATGTTGTCTGAGACGTGTCGGCAAACTGAGCTGAGATTCACAGAAAAGTGCTCAGCGATTGAGAATCACAGAAAAATATTCTCAGTTGTGAAAATTCACCGAGAAAAATATTCTCAGTGTTTGAAATCATTGACATGTAAAAAATGAGTGAAACCATTAAAAATATGGTCGATCAACAGTCGCAATGTGAAAAGAAACATCTCAGAAACTTGACCACAACATTTATATGAGACAAAATGCTGGCAAACGTCGTGCAGTCTCTGAAAAGCGTCCATCAGCAACGGCTAACCTTGCAAGCTGACAATATTTTTTGTCGTGGTGGCGTCCAATCCGTTTCAGGATTAGAAAATGCAGAATGGTCGTGCAAAGAACGTAGCAAGGATGAGGCAAACAACATGGATAAGAAATAAACTGCAAAAATCGGAAGGAAAAACAACAAAGTGAGAGAAAATCAGAACAACCTGACCGGAGCTTGGGAATCAGATCGCCAAGCAATGCCTGTCAAATAGTGGCTGTGGGTGTTTATCACCCACATGCGGCCACGTTTGTGATGCACGCATCCTTGCGAATTCGGACCGCGGGTGAGGTCAATGCACTCACCCTCTCCGCCATTGTGCACAGTTTTTCCTGTGCCCCGGGCTAGGCCCACAAATATGGCACCGCACTCTTTCTTGCTGAGATTCGTCCCATTATGCAAGATACGACCTAATTCGTGCGCCTCCCACGAGGTGTATCCTACTTTGAATCCCTGAGCAAAGAAACTTTCACTTTCCGCAAAGTGGAGTTTGCTAGGTGCCAGCTTACCTTCTTTGAGAATGGCAACAAAATTACCAAGTTTTGTGGCATGTGTGAAGGCCAGATGAATGATTTCATCGAGGCCTCTGTCTGGTGCCGCTCGTCTTGGTGGCGGTGGCATCCCTTCTGGAAGGTTAGCTCTATTATACAAAACTGAGATCGGCAAAAGGTAAAAATGCTCCATTGGAGCCGGTTGGTCAGATCCCTGATTCGATCCGTAGTAGTTGGGATCATACTTGGCCATTCTCATGGGTCCCAAATCTTGTGACAAAATGTCAGCCTGTGCCAGTAGCTTGGCTACATGTTGCAAAAAGGCTTCAGAAGTGGGATGTTCCTTGACTTGTTGATTCAAAAGGTTTTCAAACAAGGAATACTCATGATCATTTAGCGGAACATGGCCTTTCGGCGTGCTTGAAATCGGAAACGCATTAAAAGGAGCACTGCCTAAAGGCATATTCAAAGATGTATTCGGAGCACTACGAACGGTCTGTGTCACCACCGGACGAGGTGGTGGTGGCGGCGGTGGAGGTCTTTCTTGAAATTGGCCGCTGTGACCGTAAATGTCAAATACTCCAAGTGAAGTTCCCCAATTCCCTGGTGGGTATGTATGATGGGCTTGCTGTAAAGAGCGAGCCTCTGATCGAACTTCACTGACACTAGGTCCTGGGGACCGAGATCGTGCACGGCTATCGGATCTAGATCTCGTTTGACGAGGTCTACGGGATCGAGAAGATCTGGATCTCAGTGGTGGAGGTTGTAAAGGTCTCAAACTGCTCGGTGCGGCTGGAGGTCTACCGATTTTCTGTGCACCTTCAAGGACTACAGACCTTGGTCCCGGTGGTCTCCTAGGGGGGTCGAAGCGTGCAATACCATCTGTAATTGACAGCGCAGGTCGGACCTCACTTTTGGGTCGCAACGTCGAAACCACGGCAGCCGGTGCTCGAGGCGGTGGTGCTTTTGCCGCCTGACGGCTGTAGTCCCCTGCAATGAAATACACATTGTATGACATGGCTGCTAGTCTACGTGACGAAAATGGAAAATGGAAAATGGAAAACCATGCCCACATACAATTAAAAAGTCAACTGTGCAAGTAACAACGTGTGTTACGTTTTTCAATGTCTGGCTTCTTGAATGAACATGAAAAACATGAAAAACATGTCTGTTGAGCCAGAATGTCTGTACACAGAACGAAAGCTGAGGTACCGTGAAAACACTGCATCGAAACTCTCACAGATTCGTCCTACGAGTAAATCGAAATGTTCTATTGCTGGTTCTTCTGTTAGTTCATTTTGTTCTTTTTTGTTCTTTTTTGGCCTTTTGTTGACGACTCATAGTTGTTTCAGAGGAGGGCCCGAAAGCCTTTGTTCAGGAATAACCCTGAATGTTCAGAGTAAATCAGAGTGAATCAGAGTAAATCAGAGGCACAAAGTGCAATCAGAGATTTTCAGAGATTTTTCAGAGATTCTTCAACGCCTGAGAAAACATGCGCGACAATTTCCATGGAGATCTTCGATCTCCGTTGGAAAGTGGAACTCCGTAACACGAATTACTCATCTCGAGGGGACGGAAAGGAAAATTAGTCCCAAAACATATCGGATACGGTTCAAAGAAATACCGATGGCTACGATTCATGGTCAAAACGACCCAGTGGTATTGCCTTGTTGTTTTTCTCTGGACAAGGACCAGACATACCCCCGTTTTTTGGTGGTGAAAAAAGTTGAGGGCCGAAGCCAAATCAGAAGGATACTGTTCACACGCCGGCAGTTACGACAGGACCATGACGGAATCTCTGCCGAAAACACACTTGAAAGACCGTATCTCGTCTATGAGTCTTTTGATTCCCGATAGGGTATCTGAACTGAGTTCAGAAAGGCCGTCTTTGTCCACTTTGGACAAAAGTCGCAGAAATTGGTAAAAACTGAAAAAACTGAAAAATGCGTAACGGACTCCGATTTCTCGAATTATTCATGCATATGACAAAAGACTAACCGAAAATACATCAACAAGCTTGAATAATGAGAAAACATCATGACCAACTGCAGGTACGTCAGGGTGATCAGCCCTGATATCCCATCCAAGCCCGTAGCTTCGTTGCACACGGTGGGTCAAGGATGCCGTGTGCCCCTGCTTGTAAATTAGGAGCTGATACTAAAAATTGGACATATCATGATAAAAGCCCTTCGGAACAGGGGTTGCCCCCACACACACACACACAAACACACACACACACACATACATACATACATGCATACATACATACATACATGCACGATCTTTCACCACCTGGGCGCCTGTGACGCCGCGGCACTTTGCGTGGCAGGCGTGGCACAACCTGACATCCACCTTGGTTTCACGTGGCAGGCGTGGCACAAAGTCACATCCACCGTCGTTTTGCGTGGCAGGCGTGGGACAGATGGCACTGGGTGGCACGCTTGGTCCGGCTTGGGCGCCTGTGACGCCGCGGCACTTTGTGTGGCAGGCGTGGCACAAAGTTACATCCACCGTCGTTTTGCGTGGCAGGCGTGGCACAAAGTCACATCCACCGTCGTTTAGCGTGGCAGGCGTGGGACAGATGGCACTGGGTGGCGCGCTTGGTCCGGCTTGGGCGCCTGTGATCCACTTTGGTTTCACGTGGCAGGCGTGGCACAAAGTCACATCCACCGTCGTTTTGCGTGGCAGGCGTGGGACAGATGGCACTGGGTGGCGCGCTTGGTCCGGCTTGGGCGCCTGTGACGCCGCGGCACTTTGCGTGGCAGGCGTGGCACAACCTGACATCCACCTTGGTTTCACGTGGCAGGCGTGGCACAAAGTCACATCCACCGTCGTTTTGCGTGGCAGGCGTGGGACAGATGGCACTGGGTGGCGCGCTTGGTCCGGCTTGGGCGCCTGTGACGCCGCGGCACTTTGCGTGGCAGGCGTGGCACAACCTGACATCCACCTTGGTTTCACGTGGCAGGCGTGGCACAAAGTCACATCCACCGTCGTTTTGCGTGGCAGGCGTGGGACAGATGGCACTGGGTGGCGCGCTTGGTCCGGCTTGGGCGCCTGTGACGCCGCGCCGCGCCTGACATCCACCTTGGTTTCACGTGGCAGGCGTGGCACAAAGTCACATCCACCGTCGTTTTGCGTGGCAGGCGTGGGACAGATGGCACTGGGTGGCGCGCTTGGTCCGGCTTGGGCGCCTGTGACGCCGCGGCACTTTGCGTGGCAGGCGTGGCACAACCTGACATCCACCTTGGTTTCACGTGGCAGGCGTGGCACAAAGTCACATCCACCGTCGTTTTGCGTGGCAGGCGTGGCACAAACTTACATCTACCGTCGTTTTGCGTGGTAGGCGTGGGACAGATGGCACTGGGTGGGGTACTGTGGTTTTGCGTGGCAGGCGTGGCACAACCTCACATCCACCGTTGTTTTGCGTGGCAGGCGTGGCACTCATGGCACTGGGTGGCGCCTGGACTGGATTGGTCGCCCGTGACACACACACACACCCGCACACACACACACACATGGCCGTCGTTTTGCGTGGCAGGCGTGGCACTCATGGCACTGGGTGGCGCCTGGACTGGATTGGTCGCCCGTGACACACACACACATACATACATACATACATGCATACATACATACATACATACATACATACATGCACGATCTTTCACCACCTCCTTTGTCTTTCCTTCCTTCCCTGTCCCCGCTGAAACCATTGAAGCTCATTTTAGGAAGAAGTTGACTTGTGGGGTTATCCGGTCCTTTAATTGATGTTTTTGCCACATGGAAAACTATATAGACTTAACAGCTCTTTTTTCCCAGGTTCGACATGGTTAAGGTGCAGGGATTTGCATGAAGATATAGGAGGACGATGACAAACGATGACAAGCGATAGGGAGTTGTGTGGGATAGCTCTGCCGCAGCAAGACCCTGCCGCACTGCTCTGCCCTGCAGCTTTCAGGTATTTTCATGGAACCCACTGATGCCTTGGAAAAAGCTGGGCTCCAGCAGGGTCTTTTGGATTTTTCTCCTCAAGGTGGCCGAGGTGCACAGCTGTGGCAGAGATGGTCAGAGTTGGAGCCCATCGTTGTCTTATTGGATTGGTTTAAAGGAACATGTACAGGAAACCCAGGGTCTTCTCATCAAATATGGGGAGTTCCCGTAAATGTTCCCTTCAACCAATCCAATGATTGTCCATATTTGTCCATCATCCATTCCTGATTGGTCGGGGGTTCGCTTGGAGCGCCGAAAAGTGGATCGCTTAGAGCGCCGAAAAGTGGATCGCTTGGAGCACCGAAAAGGGACATAAGAGAGACATAGCGCTGGAGTTCCATATATGCGCAGAGCCATATAGACGCATAAATGGATGCAGTCATATGTCTCGGAAGCACGAGATAACATTCCATGCGATCTGCTTTTACTTGAAGAAGTTGTTCCAACGTATCAGGAACGTCTTGGAAGTTACTTGAAGAAGAGTTTACAACGTATCAGCAAAATCTGGCACGTTACTTGAAGAAGATGTTGCAATTTAGCAGGAACGTCTTGCAAGTTACATAACAAACGTGTTGCAACGTTGACTTGATGAAGATGTTTGAACGTATCAGGAACGTCTTGGATGTTACTTGAAGAAGATGTTTCAATTTAGCAGGAACGTCTTGCAAGTGACTTCATGAAGATGTTTGAACGTAGCAGGAACATCTGGCAAGTTATTTGAAGAAGAGTTTACAAATATCAGGAACGTCTTGCAAGTCACGCACAGAAGATGTTACAACGTATCAGGAACATCTGGCAAGTTACTTGAAGAAGATGTTGCAACGTATCAGGAACGTTTTGCAACTTACTTACAGAAGACGTTACAACATAGGTGCTGGAGTGGGTCGTTTCGTTCCAATCCCTGTTCCATACCCGTTCCAGATCCGTACCACTCAGATCTAGAGAGTTTCACTTTCTGTTGTGAAACTGTTGAGTACGTTCGAATCTTTCCATTCTTCTGTAACCGTAAAGCCCGTAAGGCCCGTAAGGCCCGTAGAGCCCGTAGAGCCCGTAGAGCCCGTAAGGCCCGCAAGGCCCGCAGAGCCCGTAGAGCCCGTAGAGCCCGTAAGGCCCGAGCCCGGAGCCCGGAGCCCGTGGAGCCCGTGGAGCCCGTGGAGCCGTAGAGCCCGTGGAGCCCGGGGAGCCCGTGGAGCCCGTGGAGCCCGTGGAGCCCGTGGAGCCCGTAGAGCCCGCAGGGCCCGTGGAGCCCGTAGAGCCCGGACAGCCCCTGAGCCCGTAGAGACCGTAGAGACCGTAGAGCCGTGCCCGTAGCCCGTGGAGCCCGTGGAGCCCGTGGAGCCCGTGGAGCCCGTGGAGCCCGTGGAGCCCGTGGAGCCCGTGGAGCCCGTTGTCGTTCAGAAGGGTCAAATACTCATGGCTACCGGTTGTGTCCTAGCTAGTTAGTGCACGAGCACTAGCCATCCAATGCAAACTTGCGCTGAACAGGTGTACAACAAGGATGTCGCGCAGATGAGAAGTGAAAATGGGAGACAGCTAGCATGAGTACCTTCAACATGCATATCCTTGACATGTATATGACCGTGTATGATATATATATATATATATAAATATACATACATACATATATATAATAAATTAAATTTATTGTTTTTGCTTAATGTAGTTATTTGTTTATTTCTGTATTTCCTATATGTCGTCACACTCCAAAGGTCCGGAACAAGACTAGTTACGAAGCACCTTCGTTCCATGCGTCCTGAGCGCCGCTGAACGTTCCATACACAATTTTGAGACACAGTCATGTCTCTGCAGGCGTTAGAGACCTCAAAGAGAAATGAATATGTTGCTTGGGGTAATAACATGATCTTTATCTTCATAAGGGATCAAAGTTAGCCACCCCATATGAACAGTATGTTGATTGGGGTAATAACATGATCTTTATCTTCATAAGGGATCAAGTTCGCTGATGAGAGCTGCTGAGAGACAAGAGACCAGTGCGCCATCTCAAAAAAATTGTGTTTGTTTGCTGCCGTGTCCAACACAAACCGTTTTCTGGAGACTTGCGAGAGGTTCCCACAGAAGCAGTATCTGTATGTATATGCCTTGCTATTCTTCAAGTATAGATGTATGTATATATATATATATATGTTGAGTATCTTTATTGAATTATAGTTAAAGAGTTAGATACTTAGTATTGTTAAATACTAGTGCATCAAAAAATCATTGTAAATTAGTAGGAATGGAGCCCGATATTTCGCCATTTGGGTTATTGTCAAATGTTTTTTTTGATCGTTGGGTGTATGTGTTGCTTACCACATGAATCAGCATTTTTGTTGCCTTTCACTCAGACCTAGACAGTTTCACGAGTACGTTCGAATCTTTCCATTCTTCTGTAACCGTAAAGCCCGTAAGGCCCGTAAGGCCCGTAGAGCCCGTAGAGGCCCGTAAGGCCTGCAGAGCCCGTAGAGCCCGTGGAGCCCGTGGAGCCCGTGGAGCCTGTAGAGCCCGTAGAGTCCGTGGAGCCCGTGGAGCCCGTTGTCGTTCAGAAGGGCTCTTCTCAAAGATGTTACAACGTATCAGGAACGTCTTGCAAGTCACTTGAGGAAGATGTTACGACGTAGCAGGAACGTCTTGCCTGTGTGTGCACAGGAACATGAACGTTATTACCCCACCCCACCCCACCCCACCGGTAACTGATCATGAAAGAGCAGTGCAGTGCGTGTGTCTGCAGGACAGCAAGAAAGATGATGAGGTTGCTGTGCCTGACTCCATGTCCCAGCCCCGTGTCCCCAAGTGTTACCCCAAAGGTATGATTCTCTGGTGCTTTAAGCAGAAAGGCTTCGGTTCGTTTAGGTTCGTTTCGGTTCGTGGAAACCTCAAACACGGGCGGTTCGGTTCATCCGTGTGCCGGTTCGTTTCGGTTCGTGTGACATGGCGGTTCGGTTCGGTTCGGTTCGTGTTGTGTAGTGTTGCAGGACGAGAGGTCTTTGACAGAATGGGTGTGGATGAATATCAAATAGTAATGTTATGTTGCAGCAGAGGGATTTTGTTTTTGAATGTTTGAAACTGATGGTGGGGCCGAGTGTTTGCAGCATCTAAGTAAGCAGTGTCCAAAACCACGGTTTGTTGATGACTAAAGTGCTTATGCTGTTTCTTGGATTGGGGATAATGATTATCATCATCAACTATTAGAATTCTTACATCTAACCAGTTTACAGTGAAATTGACAGATCCATTGCCAACGGCATTTTCATTGCGCGAAAATCACTTTCAGCTGTCGAAATCCAGCCGTGGCCGGCAGAGGTTCAATCAGCAGCCAAATGCCATTTTCATATGGCGAAAGTCGTTTTCAGGCATCGAAATTGAGGCAGTGCCTGCAAATCTCAAACATTAGCCAAACATCATTTTCATTGTGCGAAAATCAGTTCCGAGCATCGAAATCAACACACATCAGACAAGGACCAAAGCGAATTTTCGTGTTTTCCTTAACTATTAGGTGTTTTCCTTAACTTGATTTCCACTGCGCGAAAATCATTTTCGGAGTTGTTTTGGCAAAAAGAGGGAAAAAAGTAGTAGTAGTAGTAGTAGTAGTAGTAGTAGGAGTAGGCGTAGGCGTAGGCGTAGGCGTAGGCGTAGGCGTAGGCGTAGGCGTAGGCGTAGGCGTAGGCGTAGGCGTAGGCGTAGGCGTAGGCGTAGGCGTAAGCGTAAGCGTAGGCGTAGGCGTAAGCGTAAGCGTAGGCGTAGGCGTAGGCGTAGGAGTAGGAGTAGGAGTAGGAGTAGGAGTAGGAGTAGGAGTAGGAGTAGTAGTGGTAGTGGTAGTGGTAGTGGTAGTGGTAGTGGTAGTGGTAGTGGTAGTGGTAGTGGTAGTAGTAGGAGTAGTAGTAGTAGTAGCGGTAGTAGTAGTAGTAGTAATAATAGTAGTAGTAGTAGTAGTAGCAGAAGTAGCAGCCAGCACTGATCATTTGCAATTCCTGCTGCACTTTGGCAGATTGTGTTGCGCAGGAATCCACTCATTACAGTTGATTCCTCTTTCCAATTTGATTTTCAAGTCGCGAAAATCATTTTCGGACCCCCCGGAAGCTGACAAAATTAATTTTGAGAATGTGGAACCGGTTCGGTTCCATTCGGTTTGCGTAAGAATACTTGGCGGTTCGGTTCGTGCCGGTTCTTAGCCGCCTGCCGGTTCCTGAACGGTTCGGTTCACGGTTTGTTTCCTAAGCCATACTGGGAACCGGTCCGGTTCCATTCGGTTTGCATAAGAATACTTGGCGGTTCGGTTCGTGCCGGTTCTTAGCCTGCCGGTTCCTGAACGGTTCGGTTCCCGGTTCACGGTTCGTTTCCTAAGCCATACTGTTTAAGTGATCCACTTTTTTGGTGCTCTAAGTGATCCCATGGTGCTCTAAGTGATCCGGTGCTCTAAGTGATCCACTTTCCGGTGCTCTAAGTGATCCCTTATCCTTCCTGATTGGCATTGGTTTTCCCACAAGTCGAACTGACACCTGTCGCCGCACGGCAGGTGATGGCGAGCGACCTGTCTATGAACTGCGAACGTATCAGTTGAAACTGGGCTACACCACAGTTGCTCGGAAGAGTCCTGGAAAATTGACGGTTGAACAAGTTGAACCCCCAAGATTCGATGCTTAAAAGCATTGAGAAAGTCTCCAAAACGATTTTCCAGGTTCGGGAAGTCTAGGTATTGGGGTGGAATGGCAGACAGGGAGTTCCAACCTGTCCCAGGTTCCGAGCTTTATAGAAAAATACACGACTGGCCTGAAAGACAAGCTTGAAGCCGACCAAACCGGCCAATCTCAACTTGTGACTTGGTGCATATGTTTTTTTTTAATCTTTTCAGACTGTTTTGGGGTGGAGAATTGCAGCCAAACTACCCCATAAGGATGCTTTGGCCTGCTAGCGATAGATTGGGCCGATACTACCAGGCGGCAAACCCCTCTATGCCCATCGTGGCTGGCACCTGCTGCTGCAAAAACCACCTGAGTGTTGCCTTCGGTGTTCACCTGGCCAAGTCATGGATTGCACACGCACAGCCAGACACACACTAGACAAAATTGGATCTTTTTCAGAGATCCAGCAGGAACTGAATCCTTTTAACATGCAACAAAACAAGAAGATTGACCTAAAGTAGACCTTTCGTTGTACATCGCGAATTCAGTGAAGGTCTTCCGAAAATATCAAACTTAGATAAAACCAGGTGGATGTTGTTGTTGTAAGGGTTCTCGGCTTAGCCCTTCGCCATGTCCACAGAAATACCATGTAAACAAAGTGTGAAATGGCGTCAAAGACGATCTCATATTGTGGTTGGGGTTCTCGGCTTAGCCCCTTGCCATGACAGCGAAAACGAAATAGTCGTGTTGCAGGTACGTCCAGCTTGCCAAGCTGTATATCCCATTTCACTGGTAGCTTCGTTGGACACAGTCCCAGTGAAATGCTGTGTCCCCCTGCATTATATATAATATAATGGTACGAAGTTCTACGTTATACAGACGTTACACGCACATACATGTGTAGTTTATGTCTTCATTTTTAGATTAGTTAATTGACCAGCTATCTGCCTTTTTCATCGATGGGCTATATAGTCCTAACAACGAAAAATTATCATTACTTCTCTATACGTTTCTTGGCTGATTGATCAATCTAATTTGTTTCTTATTCATATGGGCCAGGCTGAAAATAGAGGATACCAATGGACAATGGCCATTTCAACGGGCATTTGATGATTCGCACTGCACTGCTTACCCATGAAATTTGTGGATTTTGCATGGTTTTGCGTTAAATTTTCAGACAAAACTGACAAAACCTATTTCATATATGTTTCCTGTTCAAGTCCGTCCTTGCGAGTCAGGTGACCCTCATGTACAGCGAGTCGGGGGCCGCTCCTTTGAACACTGTGCATGAGCTGTGGCGGCATCGCTCCATGAAGGTGACTTGGACTTTACGACGGGTGGCTGAGAGAAACGTAAGGGAAGTAATAGGGAAGTGAAACCAATCGTGATGCCCCAGTTCAACTTAGCAGCTGTTAGCTAAGTTAGCGCAAATAACTCCAATTACTTCAGGGTTTATGGTTGATATATCATGACACTGATATATCTATACTTCATGGAGATTATAAACCAACTTATAGCTGGGGGGTACCACCCTGTATGTATAATGAGATAGTATTGATTATGTATAATTTGTATATATATATATATATTATTTGTCCATTCTAGATACGAATACAGTGCGTTTATACGGTTTGTATGTCAGTTTTGTTCATGTACAACCGGACATGTAAATTCACCGATCTACAAACGCCGAGAAACTGTGCCGCGGGGCGCCGAAACTGGGACGCCGTCAGGGCAGCCAGGAGTCACGTCAAGCTTCACGTGCTGCCAGCGGCTGGAAGCAGGCGACTCTCGGGGAGTCATGGGAGTCTTTGGGGCCGTGGAGCAGTGGCTGCTAAACCCTTATTGGATGCTGTTGGTTGGTTAGTATAGCCCATAGGATCCATGTATGCTATATATGGTAAGATTTACCATCAATATACCCCAAATGTTAGCATATATACCATACATGGATCCTATGGTTAGGGGATTATGCTGCCCAATATACTGGGGATTGTCATCCGTGAAGTGGGGGTTCCGAAAAAACCAAGCAGCATTAAAAGGAATGATAGGGGTTTTTTGAACACTGCTCGAATCTTGATAGATGGTGATTTTTTGGGGGGATCTAACCCTCAAATGGGTACCATGGGGATACAATGGGATATATATATATAAATATATATGTATATGTATATATATATATATTATATATAATGCGAACTATTTGGATAGATTATATCTGGGAATAATCCCCAAATTGTCGAACTTTTCACGTGGTCAAATACAGGTAAATGTGGATTTAACCAATCAACAATGTGCGAACTGGAACACAATGAGGAATATCAGCAATGACGGATGCATGGATAGGTACACCCTCCTTCTAGACATGTTTTTCCCGGGTGTATCCAGGCTTGGCCATGTCGCAAAAGGACTGGTTTCCCGCTAATTTTCAATCCACGAGTTGCTGGCCACAGCACTTGACGTATCATTCCACGATCGCAGGCTATTGCTGAGATTGCTGATTTGGCGATCACTTTTCACAGCCAATACTTGCGGCCGATTCCTGGTATTGGTCGGTTGCAGTAGTTCGCCCTCGGCAAAAACAGGGTGGTCGAACCTGGAGGGGGGGAGTGCTCACGGAACACGTAGGATTGTGGTGCAGGATTTCTTGGGTGTGTATTTGAGGTACAGGAGGAATGACATCAGATTCAGGGTCCTGAAGAAGAGAAGAAGAGTTCAATCTTGGGTCCTTTCCCTTTCGTGCTTATTTATAGTGTTGAGGCAGCCCAAACCATTTGTTTCCGTATCAAAAATGACCACTGGATAATTCTTTCAGGATTCTCCCATGACTTTGGACACTTCTGTTGCCTTTTGATCCAGCTAGTCTTTGTTCAAACATAGGACCTAGGATTCCCCCCAAAGCCCCGTGGTTTAATCATTATTTCCCTATGAACATGGCCAGTTTGTGGTGTGAATCCCAGTATTTTCAGACAGCCCTGGGTGGCAGATCTGGCCCCTGGCGAGGTGCGCCAAAAAGACCAAGTGGGTGACACTTGGTCAGGCCAGGCTTGATACCGATGAACGAAACCACGGGCGGATGACTAGCAGTGATTTGGACTTAACACTTTTAGGATTTATGGTCTTGGGATTTCATGGTTTTAGGGTGTGTTGCTTTAAGAAAGTTCAATGATGCTCGAAATGCGATTTGGGTGTGTTAAAGAGTGGTAGGCAAACGTAGGGTTTGCAACACATATGTTTTGATGGGAACATCATCGAAGTAGTATTAAGTGGGTGTGTCTCAAAATTAGGGGTATACCCCAAATTAATCCATAAACAATATATAAAAATACTCCTTTTAAAGGGGAAAAACATGATAAAATTATCATGATATGGTTTATTACCATTGGTTCAAAAACTTCTTTTTTCTACCCAAACAATATTCATGGGGAAATCATCATAAAAATTTGGAAAATCATCATACAAATGGAGAAAGCATCATAAAATGATCAGAAACCCATGGGATTTTGCGGTTTCGTTTCCCCAGCGGCTTGGTGACCTGGTGCAGTCACTTCTTCACCACGGCGCTGGACGTTGAGACCGCCTCAAGCTCGGGGGATGCCAGGATGCCATGGGATGGGGGAGACCCCTATGTATGTATTTATTTATTCATGTAAGTGCATATGTGTACGAATTTAAATAAATAAATAAATATATATATATAATTACATTTACATATATACATATACGGCAAATGCCTGGGCTTTCCCCGGAACCGCATCCACGACAGGCAACGCACCATCATCATCGTCATCTTCTTCTTCATCATCATCATCATCAAACCCTTTTTGAAGATCTTCAATGAATGTAGAAGTTTAACGGGGGTGGGAGAATTAAACCCTCATCGAAGATCTTCAATAACTGTAGAAGTTTAACAGCGGTGGGAGAATTAAACCCTTTTTGAAGATCTTCAATGAATGTAGAAGTTTAACGGGGGTGGGAGATTTAAACGCTTATTGAATATCGTCAATCAATGAATGTAGAAGTTTAACGGGGGTGGGAGAAGTAAACCCTTATTGAAGATCTTCAATGAATGTAGAAGTTTAACGGGGGTGGGAAAAGTAAACCCTTATTGAAGATCTTCAATGAATGTAGAAGTTTGACGGGGGTGGGAGAATTAAACCCTTATTGAAGATCTTCAATGAACGTAGAAGTTTAACGGGGGTGGTACTTCAATAGTCCCTAATACCTTTGTTGATCTTCCCAATTGAATATAGGGTTTAACGGGGGTGGGATTTTAATATTCCCTAATACCTTTGTTGATTTTCCCAATGGAATGCAGAGTTGCAACATTTTTTTGGGGGAATGGGGACCTTCTACGCCGCGTACATACATACGTATATATATATATACATATTTTAATATATATATATATGTGTGTACATTTGCATATATATATATATTTCTTTGTGATAGACATGGATATTATTTTGTTAAAATACATATGGTGAATGTATATGGTAGGCTCCTATCATTAGCTCGCAAATTTCAGACACTGCCTGATTTTCAGACACTGCCTGATTTTCAGACACTGACTGATTTTCAGACACTGGCAGATCTGGGATGATGCACCCCAAAGGATAAAGAGGCACCCTAATTTCGCTGGCATTGTCTGAAAATAGGGTATCCCTGTTGTGCTTCATCATCAGCATCCTATTAAATCCTATTAAAAGTGCAGGTTATACACCCCTTGATTTATGGATGCTGATGTTATGGATCATGATGATGGAGAATCCATACCATCCTATAAGAATTGCATGGCATTGCCATCATTGCCACTGATTCCCGAGGCCGGGCATGAAGCTCATAAGCTCAATGCTGCCGCTTGGCCCTGGATGGGTTACACAGCGTGGCGTTATCTTAAAATGGGTTGTATACCCCAAACTAGCAATTTTATAATAGAGAAAAGGCATGAACAAGATGATAAACCATCAAATTTGCAGCTACTATGCATGTTTTTGACAAACCCATATGTTTTGCTCTCACTGTTTGGTCCGGAGTTGACCTTTTGGCCTGAAAAACACATTGGTGGTTCTCGTAGGTCTGGGACAAAGCCCAGCACTGATTCACCCCAGACACTGGACGCTTTGGAAGTGGTGTGAAGCTCATGGTACACCAGCGAAGCTCATGGAATCTTTCAAAATCAACAGTCTCACGTCGCAAATTCCGAGGTGTTGGTTTTTCCGACACATGCCCAACTGTATGACTAACATTGGGGCAACCCCCACTGTTTCGCAACCATTCTAGGCAACGCTGACAAAATGATGGAAAATGCGGAACCAACTGTGACTTAGTCTTCCCACAAAGACATCAAGGAATCTGACCTGACCAACTCAACTTTCACTGTGGGATGGGAAAGCACCCTAAAAAGAATAGTTGGACCCCAGAAGCCATCAAACGATCAAACTATCGGTGCAAGCCACCACACATGAGTTATAACTGGCTTTGATCTGGATGACTTAGGGCTGGGGCATATGGTTCCGAATTATTTCATCATTCCTGGGAACAATTGAGCAGTGGCTGCGATCTACCGCGGGTGGTTGATGATGAGTTCAGGGATTATACTAAATGGCTGGAAAGCAGGGTTGGTGGGACCTAATCTTTGGGATTTTACTTTTTTTGGTGAGTTTGTGGATTCTTTCTTTTTGCATCTGTTGGAATATCTCTGGTCTGTGCCAGAAGTGGTGTGCTTTACTTTTCTCAAGCCTGCGTGTGCTGATTCACCCCGGCAGCCGAATTTTTCTGATTTGAGGCTCTTCAGCCAGGGAAACATATGGAAACTGTAAACATTACCCGGTAATCACACCGTGGCAATATGTGGCAATGCCATATCCTTTAGAAATGGAGGTTGATCCCTTCGCTGGGAAAATCATCCCATCAATGGAGGGTGATCCCTTCGCGAAAGTCAGGCCTCTCAAGTCACGACGGAGCCGGGAAGCCCGATTTTTGGGTTGTGGTTATGTAAAGTTATGTATACTACTTTCATCTACTTTCTAGATCTTGCAAGTGATATTACCAGTAGTACCGCACAAGGCGGTGGCGGAAGTTTCAAAAATAGGAAACCTATAGGAGAGATTGGTTGTTGTGAATCAGGGATGGCAGAGCGAATCCACTGATGGAGCGAAAGGTGCTTGAGGTCTCCTCTCTTTCTCTCTCTTTCTCTGGCTATCTACCTACCTATCTATCTTCTATGTATCTATCTATCTATCTATCTATCTATCGATCGATCTATCTATCTATCTATCTATCTCTATCTATCTATCTATCTCTCTCTCTCTCTTTCATCTAATTACCCTATCTATCTACCTACCTACCTATCTATCTATCTATTTATCTATCTCTCTCTCTCTCTTTTATCTGTCTATCTGTCTAGCTGTCTACCTGTCTATCTGTCTATCTATCTATCTGTCTATCTGTCTACCTGTCTATCTGTGGTGCAGTGTCATTCAGTGTAATCTAGTGTAGTGTAATGTAGTGTAGTGGAGTGTAGTGGAATGTAGTGTAGTGTAGTGTAATGTAGTGTAGTGTAGTGTAATTTAGTGTAGTGGAGTGTAGTGGAGTGTAGTTGTGTAGTCGTAGTTATAGTTGTAGTGTAGTGGAGTGTGGTGTAATGTAGTGAAGTGTAGTGGAAGGTATTGTAGTGTAGTGTAATGTAGTGTAGTGTAGTGTAATGTAGTGTAGTGTAGTCTAATTTAGTGTAGTGGAGTATAGTGGCGTGTAGTGGAGTGTAGCGGAGTGTAGTTGTGTAGTTGTAGTTGTAGTTGTAGTGTTGTGGAGTGTAGTGTAGTGTAATGTAGTGTAGTGGAGTGTAGTGTAATTTAATGTAGTGTAGTGTAGTGGAGCGTAGTGTAGTGTAATGTAGTGTAGTGAAATTTAATGTAGTGGAGTGTAGTGGAGTGGAGTGTAGTGGAGTGTGGTCTAGTTGTGTAGTTGTAGTTGTAGTGTTGTGGGGTGTAGTGTAGTGTAATGTAGTGTAGTATAGTGGAGTGTGGTGTAATGTAACGTAGAGTAGTGTAGTGAAGCGAAGCGGCGAAGCGACATCTGGACCTCCAAAAGTGGTCCGAACCCCTAGTGTTTTGCACATTTTCACTTCAAAATGTGTTTAGCGCCACAACGGCGTGCACTTTTTCGACATCTGAACCTCCAAAGTGGCGCGAACATGTGGTGTGTTGTACATTTTGACTTGGAAATGTGCTTCGCGCCACAACGGCGTGCACTTTTTCAACATCTCAACTGCCAAAAGTGGTCCGGAGCTGGTGTGTTTTGCACATTTTGACTTGGAAATGTGCTTCGCGCCACAACGGCGCGCACTTTTTCAACATCTCAACTTCCAAAAGTGGTCCGAGAATGGTGTGTTTTGTGCATTTTGACTTCGAAATGTGCTTCGCGCCACAACGGCGTGCACTTTTTCGACATCTGAACTTCCAAAAGTGGCGCGAACATCTGGTGTGTTGTACATTTTGACTTGGAAATGTGCTTCGCGCCACAACGGCGTGCACTTTTTCAACATCTCAACTGCCAAAAGTGGTCCGGAGCTGGTGTGCTTT